GGGAACACAGTCACACAGCTTCGTTTACTTTGCGCTCCGAATAATACTGCTCGATTACACATATCATAAACAAGAACGTTCCTCCTTCTTTCTCTTTTTCTCTCGTATTCAGTATTTCGTTTCGCTCCGCTACTCTGCAGACTTGCGTTTACTACGTTCTATGTATGTATACATTGGAAAAAAATTTATTACAGCGTCTGCATGTGACAGTGCCATAGAATTAAGAAATTACTGAGGTGATGCAGTGGGTGCATTTAGTCCAACAACTGCTCACTGAGCGCTCAGTGAGCTCTTGCATTTGATTGGCATATACCATTAGAACTAAAAATATATTCCAATTAGATATAAGATCTCACTGAGCGTTCAGTGAGCGGTTATAGTACTGGGGCTCTATTCTTGAAAAGAAACGTATACGAAAGTCTAGGGAAATACTATAGTATACGTAACGTATACTGTAGCATTTCCCTAGATTTTCGTATACGTTTCTTTTCAAGAATAAAGCTCTTGAATGCACCCACTGGCTGCTTTTAGCAGACTCAGCAGTTTTGCAACCGTTTTATATTTCGTCGCGCTGATTGGTTTATACTTTTAGTTTTAAAGGAATAGCCCAATCTGAGCGAAGAATAATAAAACGGTTGAAAAACTGTTGAATCTGTTAAACGCAGTCACTGAAAGTACTCAGGGGTGCGTTCCAAAAACTTAAGGCCGCAGCACACACTCATGCATAACGCATAATGGATAGTGCATAAAGGAATCAACCAATCACAGTTCTAGTTTTTCATGGAATGTGAGGAAGGGAAAGATTCTGATTAGTTGATTCGCTTATGCACTATGCGTTATGCGTTATGCAAGAGTGTGAGCCTTTATACTAGAATTGGCAGAGTTAAATTTTGGAACGTAATCCAGTGTGTAAGAATCACAAAACGGTTGCAAAACTGTTGAGTTTCCTGAACGCAGCCAATGTGTCTGACAGCGATATTAATTTTGGATATTCGCTGTTGCTTTAATAAATAGCATGATGATTCTGTTTACAATTTAGGCATAAATGTACAGCAGTTGACCATTAGCCAACGAGCTTTAGTATAAGAGAAAAGAGTCGCCGAAAATTTTGTTTGTATATTACGAGTGAAATTGACGTGAAGCCATGAAAACGAGTAGTATTTTAATTGATCTCTTTCTGAGAGATGGCGTTGCAATATATTAGATAAGGACAAATGATTGTGTTTGAGCGAGACACAACGATATATAATACGTATAAGAAATGAATGAAAGATGTCACTATTGTCGAATTTGGAATTTAATGGTGTTTTCGCCCGACCGAGTTCGCACCAATTTGGGTTGAAGTAATGATGTTTCATGCTCTCCTATTGGTGCAGCGTGTAACGTCAACCAATAGCGAAGCATTTTCCGACCCAAGTTGGTGCAAACCCGGCCGGGCCGAAAACGCTATAAAAAAGTCTGTACTATCGACCTTGATTAACTTCGACCGTCACTCCAGGACACCTATCATGGAACAAAGTCGGAATGGATTCCAATCGGAATTATTCCATATTCTCAGAAAATACAGGGTGGTCCAAAAGTCCGTTTACATTTGAATCGGTCGCTTTGACGAGCAGCGACGGCGGAGTGGGG